AATCACTCACATCTGTGAGTGATTTCTTAATTACATCAATTAAAGTGGGAAGACACACTTCTAATCTGCATCTTTGAGGTGGGAAGAGCCACCTCTAATGTGGCCCACACCTTCTGCTGATAACCTATAAAAATGACATGGAAAAAGGAAGCTCTCTTTCTTCCTGGCTGCTTGTTCTTACTAGCACTCCATTCACTGACATTACTCACTGACATTAAAGCCTACTTCTTTGCGATTCAGGGGTATACTGAAGACCAGCTGAGATATCCAGGTTCGTGGTCTGAACAACTCTTGGATCCTTGAACCTTCATTCATAGGTAGCCATTGCTGGATTAGTTGGACCACAGTCTATAATCCATTATAAGTCCCCTTTCTACATATAGAGACTCATTCTCTAAGTTCTGTTACTCTAGAGAACCCTGACTAATATGCATTACTATCTCAGTGAAATCTCTCATAGACTAGATGGATCTGAAATTCTCAAAAAGACACAGGCGCTAAAAAGCAATTAAGTTTTGAAAAAGAATAAGGCTAAAGGAATCATGCTACTCAATTTTGAGTCTTGTACTATAAGGATATGCTAATCAGGGTAGTGTGCTATTGGTAAAGGGCTGGATCAGCACATAGTTCAGTGGAACAGGGTCCAAACAAGACCTTCAGAAATTTAGCACTGATTTTTGTTTTGAGACAGGGTCTCATTTTGTAGCCCAAGCAATACAAAGATGATTCAGTAGGCAGTGTTTTCAACAAATGATTCTGAAACCTATGTGTAAGTATCCATCTGAAAAAGTAATGAATTTCCAGCTAAGCTTTTCAGCATAAATGAAATATGCTAAAAATAGCTTACCAGTTAAATGTAAAACATTAAGGCAGGGACTATCCCAGATCCACACTAGGATAGTCTTCCTGTTTCTCTATGCATACTTCTCTTTTTATGTTTTTCAATAATTCATGACTCTTCTTTGAGAAGTCTATATCCATGCTTGGGAATATCTTTCCTTCTGAGCACTTCTTTCCCTTCACTTTTGTGCATAGTCTTTATTGAAACACCTTTATTTAATAAAACCTCAACTTTGCTTTTAAAACTTCATTAGATTAAGACAAAAACAAAGGAAAAATTCTTATGACTAGAAGTCCCCAAAAGAGTTCTTATGGGAACACAAGATACCAAAAGCATAGTCTACTGACAATAGCATAAATTAAACCAAAATGAAAACACTTAAGTGCTTCCAAAGAAACTACCAGAAAGTAAAAATACTAGATGAAGGGGGCAGGGCATGCCTACAATCCCTGCTCTGCAGTCCTTATGTAGGAGGTTTTTAGGTTCGCAGTCAGTCTGTATTACACATAAGACTGTCCCAAAAAAACTAATAAATAAAACCCACAGGAAATTACTTAAAAATTACACAGCTGATAACCTATACCCAGATTATTTACTATTTAAGAACAAGATAACCCTATTTTCAAATGGGTGAAAGATTTAAATAAACATTTGTTTTTGGAGCTTGCCCTATAGACCAGGCTGGCCTCGAACTCAGAGGTTCATCTGTGCCTGCCTCCTGTGTGCTGGGATTAAAGGTGTGTGCCACCACTGCTCAATAAATAACATTTCTTTACCTTTAAGGATGACACACAAATGCTCAATAAACACAGAATGCTAGCTGTAACTTTCCTTCACAGAATTGTAAACCATAAAGAGGCTATGAGATGATTCACTGGTTAAAAGAACTTGTCACCATCAAGACTGATGACCGAGGCAGAGGCAGGGGGATCTCTGTGAGTTCGAGGCCAGCCTGGTCTCCAGAGCAAGTGCCAGGATAGGCTCCAAAGAGAAACCCTGTCTCGGAAAACCAAAAAAAAAAAAAGACTGATGACCGAAGTTTAACTTACCTTCTTGAACTTTGTGTAACGTGCATGCCCTAATCCCTCCCTCACCCACCCACACACAGAGTGGATAAATGTACAACATAAATATCTACATGTACACATATACAGATCCACAAAGATACCAGTTACTATTACTAGAATGACAAGACTCAAACAGCCAGCTAAGAACAAGTGTAGGCAACAATGTGGAGAAACTGACACCCTAAACTAAACACTACAGGTAAATGTGTAGCTACTTTTGAAAACAGCCTGCAAGTTCTTCAAATGGTTAAATTAAGGCACATGTGGTGGATTGAAAGAAAATGCCCCCAAAGGGAGTGGCACTATTAGGAGGTGTGGCCTTGTTGGAGTAGGTGTCATCTTATTAGAGGAAGTATGTCACTATGGAGTTGGGCCGTGAAGTCTCATATATCCTGAAGACACACTCAGTGTCTCAGACCACTTCCTGTTTGTTGCCTATGGGTAAGGATGGAGGAATTCCTTCTCCAGCAGCATGTCCACCTGCATGCTACCATGTCCCATCATGATGAAAGCGGACAGAACCTCTGAACCGTAAGCCACCCAATTAATGTTTTCCTTTATAAGAATTGCCATGGTTGTGGTATCTCTTCACAGCAATAGAAACCCTAGCACATAAGACAGTTAATGCTGCTATGACAAAACACCATGACAAAAAGCAAGCTGGAGAGGAAAGGTTTATTGACTTATATAACCTGAATCACAGTCCACTGAAGGAAGACAAGTCAGGAACTCAACTCCAGTAGGAACCTAGAGGCAAGAGCTGATGCAGAGGCCATGGGCAGAGTTGCTTACTGGCTTGCTCCTTATGGCTTGCTCAGCCTGCTTTCTTATGACCCCAGGGGTGACACCACCCACAATGGGCTAGGCCCTCCCCCATCAATCACTGATTAAGAAAAAGCTGTAAAGGCTTGCCTATAGCCAGGTCTTAGGAAGCCTTTTTTTTTTTTTTTTTTTTTTTTCCAATTATGTTTCCCTCTTCTAAAATTACTTTAGCTCAAGTCAAGTTGAAATAAAAGTGGCCAGAACAGTAAGAAAACACCTTATGACATAAAAAACAGCTGCACAAACATTTATAGCATATTCAGCAGAGCCCAAACAGGGAAATACCTAATCATACATTTTATAAATGGACTAACTATAAAGGAATAGTATTCAGACATAAAGCAAGCATGAGTGAACTTTCTAAAGACCACAAATTCTATGGTGCCATGTGTATGAAATGTCTTGAACAAGGAGAATATCCAAAGCTGGCTGGGGCAGCAAGGCATGCCAACTGAAGAATATAAGGCTTCTATTTGGGATGATGAAAATGCTTAAAAATCCACTAAGCTGATGGTGGTATACTCTGGGCATGCTCAATTATATACTTAGTAAGGATGAGCCATGAGTATGCAAATTGTCTTAGCAAATACTTTTAAAAAACTGGCATATCGTTTCCGCTTACATTATTTATTCTAAAAGAAAACCATAGAGAAGAGCTATAAGCAGAGACAGTGGTTTCTAGAGATGAAAACTAATACTGTGACTACAAAAATTTTTTTAAATATTACTCAGGTGACTGCACTATTTTAGAGCAAATAGGAAGGTGTTTTCAAATCTATGCGAGCTAAAAGTCACCAAATTATACAATGGAAAACGATATTTTTACCTCTAAGTTTATTCATAATATTATTTAAAATTATTATACCAAAGAGAACCAATTAAAGAAAACAAAGTCTCTTCCTCCCAAGAACTCATTCCTAAAGATATTAAGGAAATGTAAGCAAAGGGCAGGCATCATAGAGGAGGCCAACTGCTAAGAGTTCAGTGCTGGAGCTTGTGCACTGAAGACAAATCTGCTCAGCACAGCCTCAAATGTGAAGGCATGTGTGTGCAGATAATCTCAGGCAGGTTGTCAAGTACATCAAGAGTGATGGGAACGGAGTTACGGAAGTAAATTCTAAATATGCGAGAGAGAACTAAAATAAATCCTATGGGATATTTTAAATTTGTGGTTTCCAATATGCATGCATAGGTTTAACATATGCATGGTAAACAAACATTAACAGTGTTCACACACCAGCATGCAAATCTTGTGTAAAAACATTATCCACTAAAGGGAACTGGATTCTTTGATTTTTGGACTGGGGCAAAGACTGCCTAATTCTGGTGAATGAGAAATTGCTCAAATAATGATCAAAACCTGTCAAAGGACACACGAGCCACCAAGACTGCTTTACACTAGCCAAATTATACAACTTTTAAACATCAAAGTAATGAGAATACTTTTTACCTACTGCATAAAATAGTAAGTAAATTCAAAGCCCGGTTAGAACATGAAAAGCGTTTTAAAACTACTCTCCTACAAAACATCTAAAAATAAGTATTACAGTGCAGAAACCCAGCAGATACTACCTTACTCAGTGACCTAAGTATCACCATTAGCAATAGGGTGAAATTCTTAATTCATGACCGTAGACAGTATTCAGGAATATTCCAGACAATGAACCTCATCCTGAAGAATCAACAGACAAAATTGCTGTAATCTTCAAAAGTATAGAAGCTAAGCCAGGACAGGTGCATATCCATAATCATAGTAGCTGGGGGACTGGGGCCAAAATATCACCTGAGTCGGAGGCCAAGTTACCCAGCAAGATTCTATCACTGAAAAATGTCAAAGCAGTAAAAGCCAAAGAAAAATGGAAACTTGTTCCAGACCTTTGATGGAGCAGCACGTCCTAACTGCAGGGCTTCCTTCCTTCCTTTATTGTTGTTTTGTTTTTTAGAGACAGGGTTTCTCTGTGTAGCTTTGGAGTCTATCCTGGCATCCACTCACTCTGTAGACCAGGCTGGCCTAGAACTCACAGACATCTGCCAGCCTCTGCCTCCCCAGTACTGGGATTAAAGGTACTTACCACCACTGCTAGGCTTGCATGGTTTTCTTTCTGAAAGGACATTGTTGGGATCAGTTCAACATAAACGGCGTAAGGTCTGAGAACTAAACAGCAGTACCATGTCCATGTTGATTTCCTAACTTTAACTATTGAGAAAACAGACTTTTCACAAGCAAAACAAACCATCACCACCACCAACAACAACAAAACAGTACAAGATAGCGGTGACAGCATCATGTCAATTTATTAGAAAATAGTACAAGATTCTTAAACTGTTAATACTTCACTTATAAGCTTTCTACACATTTCAGATTATTTTTAAAAAAAATTAAAAAACACAAACAGGATAAAAGCAATTTCTTCTAGATAATCCTCTTTCTGTCTGAACCATTAAAGTTAAATGAAGCCACTGGCTTACACTGAGGGACCTAAATTTGATTTCAGACACTAACAGTTTATTAACTCTTTCATTGATAGGGCTTTACTGTTTTTCAGTTTCTTGACATAATCACTTAGGCAGCATCACACCAGTTAGTTTTTTACTAACTCAAACTATCCAAAGCTCTTCTGTATACCTATTTCCTTTCTTAAAGTTTGTCCAGCACTGTACTTTCCTTGTATGGACAAAGGGGTGCATAATTCTTACTCAGAAGTTTAGTGAACATTATTCCTGCATCACACACACACACACACACACACACACAAAATCCCTGAAGGCACTTTTTCATTTCATATGATTTGTACTCCAATGCTTTTGTAGTAAAAAACACAATTAAATATGAAATTAGGAAAATGTAGTACATAAAACTTAATGCAGAGCAATAAAAGTTACCATCCATCCACAGGACAGCTGCTACACCTTCTATGTAAAACATATCTGAATGTAATCTTTAAGAACCATGCTGAAATACATTTGCAATATGTTAACTGTAGACATCCATATTTTTCATCCTTCATATCACTTGCTGCATTAAGTTACCAGCATCTGCTGGGATCCGCAAGACAGAACAAAACTAAAGAATAGCAGTCATTTCTCAAGGTTTGAGAAGTCTGGTCCACCCTTTGTGTAGTTCCCTGAGATTTCTGCTCCACTGAAGTCAAAACCAGGATTCTGAAAGACATAAAATAATAAAACTTACAAGAAGTTGTTGAAGTCACAATTGAAAAAAAGGTCAAAACAAGTACAGATACCAAACTTCATTGTAAGCACCAAAGGGAAAATGAAAACTAAGAGGCAAGCACCTTCCAACTTTCAGAGCAGTAAAACAAGGGGTGTTATGTATCTGACAATGCTAGTGACTGGACAGTGAAGCATGTATTTCAATTCCACCATCTGCATAAAAAGATTTTAAGTCTTTTTCCTGTGGGGCAGGGAGTATTATAGATTGAACACAGAACCTCCTTCAAACTCAATTATACCAATTTTAAATTTAATTTAAATTTAATTCTTTTTCTTCTGAAATATGGTATAGCTATGTTGTCCAGGCTGGCCTTGAACTTGTAGTTCTCTTGCCTCATCCTCCTAAGCAGCTGGAATTAAAGGTGAGTGTCACCAAGCATAGGTATAGCCAGCATTTTTTTTTCTATTTATTTACTTTTTTATGTATTTTCTTAATTACATTCCAATCCCAGTTCCCTCTCTCTCCTCTCCTTCCACTCCTCCCATCTTCCCCCATCCCACCTCCCATCCACTCCTCAGAGAGGGTAAGGCCTCCCCTAGGAAGTCAACTAAGCCTGTCCTATCACCTCACTGAAGCAGGACCAAGGCCTCCCCACCCTCCCCCACGCCTAGGCTGAGCAAGGTATCCACTTTATGTTTAGTATCCAATTATAAGTGATTACATACGATGTCTGTATCTTTCTGGGACTGGATTACTTCACTCAGGATGTTTTTTTGTTTTGTTTTTGTTTTTTGTTTTTTTCCCCTAGTTCCGTCCATTTGAAGCTTACTATAAGCCATGCAGAGTTTTAATAAATACATGTATATTACCATATAGATACACATTGAATATTATGAAGTACTGCTTCAAGCTTTAGACTTTTCTGGAGGCAATTTCATTTGTTTAATGGACATTTATTGAGCCCCTACTATTTGGAAAATGCCATTAAACACATGTGGATTTCAAATGTAAAGACCTCTGTTGTAGAGGAGCTTATACTGTAGCAGGAAAACACAAATAACAAACCATAAATACTGAACACAGAGCTCAGCCTCTACAGAGTCAGGCAATAATCACTTTAGACTACACAGACTACATGACTTCTGTCATAAACACTTCATTATAAGAAACTGCTATCCATGACATACTAATAAATGAACAAAGGTATGTCTCTGTAAAACTTTACTTGCATACCTGGGGCTGAATTTCCCCAGGCCACATTTTGCCAACCCCTGGCTTAGTGTGTTAAAGCTTGTTAAGTGCTATAAAAAAAGATAAACAGGAATTATGGCAGGAGAAAGAATTAAGAGAGAAAATTATATATAGACTTAAATGGGATAGTTAAAATGTGATGAGCTTTTCCACATAGAGGAACACTCCCTGAGCCAAGACACACGGGGGTGGGCCTAGGCCCTATCCCAAAGGATACGATAGACTCTGATGACACCCTATGGAAAGCCTCACCATCCAGGGAGAGCAGAAAGGATATGTGATAGGTAAGATTTTAGTTGGGGGGGGGGTGGTAGGGGAGGAGGGAGAAGGGAACTGGGATTGTCATGTAAAACAATCTTGTTTCGAATTCAAATTAAAAAAATCTGGAAAAAAAATGTGATAAGCTTAAAGCTACAGGAGAATAAACATTCCAGTTAGAATCAGCAGAGAGCCAGGTACTTTTAATCCCAATACCTAGGAGGCAGATCTCTGTTAAAGGCCAGCCTGAACAGTAGAGAGCCAGCCAGACCTAGAGAGAAACACTGTCTCAAAACAACAAAACAAAATTACAAGAAAAGAACAAAAAAAGAAAGGAGGGGTTGGTAAGAAGTAACTGATAAAATATCCCATGAAGAAAAGGAAGAACTTGTGAATATTCTGAGAAGAAAAACGCATTGATCTAACTTGCACTATCAAAAGATGTCTTTAATGGCTACTCTGAAATAACTACTTGGGGCAGAGTCAAGGCTAATTAGAAATTTTCTGAAGTAATCCAGACCAAGTACTAGTGGATCTGGCAGTGTAAAGTGGTAAAAGTGTATGTAAGTGGAAGACTTCTTAAGAGTTGTCAATAACCTGTCTGGTAGGCAGGAAGGCATGTGTGTTTACTAGTCTGTGTGGGACTAAAGTTGACATCATTGTTTTCTTCAATTGCTCTCCAAATTCTAGGTAGTCTAGACAGCCAGCTTGCTCTAGGGATCCTTTGTCTCTGCCTCAGGAGTGCTGGATCAAAGGTGGCCACCACACCTGCCCAGCTTTTGCATGGATTCTGGGGCTCATCCAGCAGGCCTCTGGTCCTCATGATGGAAGCTCAAGTGCCATCTCCACTGTGCAATCTCCGAGCCACAACCTCCCTTGAACAATATTTGGGAGTGAAATTAGTTTGTTCATTTTGGACATGTAGTCTGACAGCTAAATGGAGATGTTCAATAAGTAAACGGAAATGCAAGTTGCAAGTTTACAAGAAGTCTAGCTCATAGACATATACTTGGAAATAAGCAAGATATAGATGGAAATTATCCACTGAACTTTTAAAAGTCCAGTGGTTAAATAATTATAAGTCCTGTGGTTACGTAATTCCTCTCCCAAATATTTATCTTGGAACAGGTTTATTTAAAATAGAGAAAAACAGCTGGGCATTGGTGGCTCATGCCTTTAGTCCCAGTACTCTGGAGGCAGAGGCACTCATTCTATGAGTTCGACACCAGCCTGGTCTACAGAGTGAGTGCCAGGATAGGCTCCAAAGCAACACAGAGAAACCCTGTCTCAAAAAACAAAAAACAAACAAATATAAATAAATAAAATAGAGAAAAACAACGGTATTAAAACAGCATCAAAGGGAAAGAGCTAAATAAATAGTTGTTGTACATGCAAATGAGAGAAATCAAGCAGAAGGGATGAGTTTTAGCCATATACACAATTAGGGGAAGAGACTGGGGATATACTATTAAAGAAAAAAAGCACCATGAAAATAAGCAAGGTATTACCCTCCACCTTTGTTAAAAATTAAACAGACAACAAGGCTAATTATTGAGAATGAGCAGACGTTATGAGGTGGGGGAATAACAATGAAGGGATCTCTCACCTTTTTATGCTGTATACACTACAGTGGTCCAGTTTTTTAGGTTTATTATTCATGAATTACTGATGTATGCTCAGCAATTTTAAGTGTAACAGCAATGAATATATTTGTGAAATTTAAAACCCACATACTAGGCTGATTTCTTGCCATTCACTTTAAAACCCACCCAGCTTTAAAAAAAAAAAAAAAAAAAAACTACTTTCCACACTACATTATGAGGGAATACCTGTGATTTTGGATCATGTAACTATATAATCATGCCTGCATCTGACTTACTTCTTTCTGGAATCGCTCTAATGTAAGTTTTCTCTGCATTTGGTCTTGCACCCAGGGATCAGCTGCATATTCAGATTCTAGAAGGGAAGTCCAACAGTTTGCAGCATCTCTCTTGGTCTTTGTCAGAACAATACGGACCATTTTTCTATCCTCTAAGAAAAAAATAAGAAGCAAGTTACAGAGAAATCAATGGAAAAGTCAATCCTTGTAAATTCTAAAGACTGTTAGGTAATTCTGATATATAATTGTTCCCAAGACTTTTCTCCGGCTTTCACAGTTATAAGCACAAGAAGATTTAAAACAAAGGAAAAACAACATCACAATCTAATTTTTAAAAGTTTATGAATCATAATAGATTGTTCTTACCCAAAGTCCATGTTCCTTCATCAGCAATTGTAGAATCAAACAACTTTCCCTGGAAAACAAATATAAGGTACTAAAGATACAACATTAAATTTTATACATTCTCCATAATTAAGATTTGGCTCATTTCAAGCAAAGCCACATCTTGGACTAGTTCAGCCTAATTGTAGGTGCTCAACCTTGAACTTCCTCCTATTGAGTGAAAGGGACTCCAGTTTACAAAATTTGACATCTTTAGGATGCAGAAGAACACAGGACACTCTAAACAAAACAGATGAAGACATACTACTCATAGCTGATAGAATAAATGTGAAATTAATGTATAAAATGCTTTACTCATCAAAATAAACAAGACAGGGACTTATGCTGAAACTAGAAGAAATGTTCTATTTTATTTTTGGTTTTCTTAAGGTAGAGTCTCAAGTCAGGGGGTTCTCAACCTGTGGGTCACAACCCCTCTGGGTGTCCCATTTCAGATACTTATATTATGATTCGTAACAATAACAAACAACAACAACAAAAACCCATATTTTAAGAAGTAGCAAAGAAAACAATTTTATGGTTGGGGGTCACCTCTACGTGACGACCTGTATTAAAGGGTCACAGCATTTGAGAAGTTTAAGAAACACTGTTCTATGTACCTGCAGTTCAATATGTAGACCTTGCTGGCCTGAAATTCGAAGAAATCCACCTGCCTCTGCCTCTTAAACGCTGGGATTAAAGGCTTATGCCACAATACCTGCCTTTAAAATGCCATCTTTTAAAGAAAATGTTATTAAAGGCTAGTTTAATCTCTTTTGAAAAGCTGGCACTAGAAAAAGCCAAACAAAAAAAACCTATACAGGGTTTCTCTGTATAGCTTTGGAGCCTATCCTGGCACTCGCTCTGGAGACCAGGCTGGCCTCGAACTCACAGAGATCCACCTGCCTCTGTTTCCCGAGTGCTGGAATTAAAGGCGTGAACCACCAACACCCGGCGAAAAAGCCAATTTCTTAAGGAGATCTAATCACATATTGCAGATCTGATGTCTTAATTAGCTGTGACTAACTTTTCATCTCCTCCTACCCAAGGTTAGAACACAGGGTACCATGTCTCCTTTTACCACTACACTACATGGCTATCCAACAGGCTAGGCATCTAACCGAGGGGCGAAATATAATCTCAGGCTGTTGTGAAAAAAATTTTTTTCTTCCCCCAGACAGGGGTTTTCCTATGAAGCACACAGTCCTGCTTATCCTGGAAATTGCTTTGTAGACCAGACTGTCCTCGAACTCTCAGAAATTTGGCTGCCTCTGCCTCTTGAGCGCTGGGATTAAGGGCCTAGGCGTGCTACCACTGCCTGGCTTCTAAAAATTCTTAAGATCAAAAAAAGGTATAGCCAGATTCAAAATATATTGGTGGAATCAAATAAAAGAGGCACTGTTTTCTTCACACACCTCTTCATTATCTTAATGACCATCTACGTGCAAGAAACTTGTAATTTAGAAAGCCAATCTGACATCACCTTCATCTGTTACCCAAACCCTGTTTGTTATTTCTGTATTTGCCTACACATCATGAAGAATTCACAAACCTTCTGCCTAAAGTCTCTGAGACTCAGATCAGTGCCCAGAAGATGCATCTGTACTTTTGATCTAGTTAGTCTTCTGTCAGCAGAGGAACCCCAGGGGAATTAAAGCAGCACATACCAGTGTTAGAAAAAGAAGTAAACGAAATCTTTATATTAATGTCCACGCTAGGTCTGATCTGGGAGTGGGTGCTACGATGGGACCCCTCGCCAGATCAGTTTACTGCTTTCTTTCCGCCAGCCAGGAACTGACCTTTCCACCCAGCAGTCATCCCTCTCGGACCGTGCATTTTTAGGATTCGGGGTGCGGGGAGGCCAAAAGAAGGAACTGGGGACAAGCCCTGGCTTGCTACCTTGAGGATCTCGCGGCCACCCACGGCTAGAGCCACATGCCGGCTCTGCAGGTCGCACTGGATGTCCTGCGCGCGTGTGCCCGGGGGCACCTGGACTTCAATGAACACCACCTCCAGGGTCTGGTACCACTGGCCCCATGGCGTCCCGCACGGAACCACCCCACTACGTTCCTCAAACGGGGCGGACATTCTCCAGATGCCACGCACGGACCAGGCTCAGAGAGAGAGAGAGAGAGCACGGCACACGCGGG